CCCACACCTGGCAGCAGCCACCCCCAGTCTGGCTGTACTTACACTGCACTGCAGTAGCCACTTATCTACCCACCAGCCTGCTTGTGAGCTGCCTGGGATGTGCGACTTCCTGCCGGCTTCCTGATTTACTTTGCTTATGGGAAGCCGGCAGGAAGTCACAAGGTGGTCCTTGCTTAACAACCCACAATCCTCACTTAAATACAGCAACAGGGACTGCCGGGATTGCCATCCCTAAGCAATGCAGTCACATGATGTGGCACTTTATTACTACATCACTTAGTGATGGAAATTCTAGTCCTGATTACCATCATTTAGGGAGGATTACCTGTATTCTTCAGTAGAATTCTTTGAGTCCCATTTCTAGGTCATATTTCCTATTTGTACTTTTCATTGGGGGTTGCTTGTGCAAGATCACCATTCCACTTAGCACAATATATGTAGATACACAATTTTTAATTGCACTTGAGACTTGTTCACTATTTTCAAACTTGGCTCTGACCAGCTCACTGGTGAACATGGATAAGCAGGATTAAAGTAGTGAGTAGCTCTTGTCTAACCAGCTGACTGCTGGTGAATGCAGGGAAACTCTGCCAGGGAAACTGAACCAGTTTGAGAATCACTACATTAATTAATTAACTTTAGCTACATACTTCTCAGATATACAGTAGATCTTTACTTAGTTTTAGGAAGTTTTCCTGCTGGTAACAAGACTGAAAGTCAGAGAGTTTAAAAGGATTGTTATATATATCACAACTACGATAAATTAAAATACAGGCTTAAGCTACCGAAAGATTTATATGTTCCAAATTTAGCCACAATGCCACTATTTTGGTGTAGTGATACTAATAATTCACTACTGTTTTGAATAACCAGAATAATGTGATCATTGTTATATTGAATATTATTCTCTTATGTAAAATAAATAACTAGATCTGAACGCAAGATGAGAATCACTAGGATGCTTCAGCTCCTTGACAACAGAGAGCCTTTCATTCCAGGATTAGAGCTGAAGTGGAAAGTTGGTTTCAAATCTCTGTCTAGCTATGAAGCTCACTGTAAGATACAAGATAGATTAGTTACTAAATCTCAATCTAACCTATCTCAGAAAAATGCAGAGTATATATGCCTCCTAAGCTCCTTGGAGACTGGGTAAGATAAAAATGTAATAAATAAAACACCAGTTTTTACACCCACACAACTCCAGCATATTATTGATTATAGGATAATGTGATTTTTAACACTCATGCAGGAAACAGATACCTCTTCCACCTCTTCCTTGTTTATTCTAGTCCCACCTCTCAGTAGCCGTAGAGCTTTTCTGTGTACGCTTTGCAGTTTCCTGAAGATCAGCACAGAAGCAGCGCTAGTTCTCAGGTGCAAAACTACTTGAAGGGGAGGTAATGGGAGAGTGCAAGGGTCAAGTATTCTGGAAGTCTCTGAAAAGAGGCATTCTATCCAGATCCTGATTGTAGATATAGAGTTGTTTCAAAACGTGATAAGGGTACTTATTGGGGACCATGCAAGGTGCCAGTACTCCAAATAATCATGCTCATGTTCAAGATCAGAGCCTGAATGAAGGAACTCATTGCTTGCCCACCCTTGCTAAATTATGGGAATATAATTCTTTGTTGAATTGTGTTTCATTATTCTTACAAACAAATGCTATCAAATTTTATGTGCATAACCTCTCCCTATTAGTTGTGAAAGTATTACTGCCAAAAATTCATGTTTTTTTCCTGAAAGTTTTCTCAGAGCATGATAGGCTAAGACAGGAGAAGCCCTTTTTGTGACAGATCAAAAGGTATAACTTGCATAAGGGGGGATTTTGCAAAAAGGATGGGTGTGACGAAGACCTTCTCTGTGACTCTGCCTAGTTCCCACCACCTTCCAGTTTTAAGCATGGCTGATAGGACTACCTTGAAGGAAGAAGTCAGAAGCTATATAGTTAATCTATCTTTTTGCACATTGGGAATTTCAGTGTCCCATCCAAGGTAGGATACTGTATGGCCACTAGGAGCTACTTTAATGAATAAACTTTAATGTATATGAGAATTATAAGTTTGCTTTAAGAATTAAAGTTTTGTAATGCTGAAAGTTTATTTGTACTTTATAAGATGCAGGGACCGAGATTCCAGAAGTAAAATTTTGAGCACATATTAAATAAATGGCCTTTTAACCTTTTGCTATGGCACTCTTCAGACTGTACTCTCAGTTTTTAAGCACTTAAAATCTTGTAGATGCGAAGTGCCCCATAGCTAGGGAACTTGGATCCATAAATACAGGTTGTCCTTGCTTAGTGACCACAATTGGGACTGGCAACTTTGTCGCTAAGCGCCACAGTCACTAAGTGAAACATCACATAACCACAACGGGCTTATGACCTCACTTCCCCTTCAGTCATTAAGCGAGTCACTGCAGTTGTTAAGTGAAACATCACGCGACTGTGACTTATAATTTTACTTCTGCCTTCACTACATGGGTTTTTAGTTTGACCTAGGACAGTTCTTCTAATGTTCCATGAACTATAACATGTAGGCCAGAGTATCATATGAGATGCTGGACATATTGAATAGACATTACAAATTGGACAGTATTATCAAACAAATAAGATTTTATTTCACAAGTCATACTGTATTGAAACTTTTCAAGCATTATGTTTAGGTTTTCACAAAAATCAGGTTGGAAAAGAAAAATATGAAATATGTGAAAGAAATGGAGTTTCTAAAGACGTGAATGTCTTGTCTGAGGTTCTAGGGCTGCTAATTAAAAATTAATTAAATAAAGATCCACAGTTGAATGGTAACATTATTATGTTGATAATCTAGCATAACAGTTACAAGGAATCATGCTAAAAAAAAATACTAATGCAGATATTAAATCTATATAGCACACTGCAAATCCTTGGTAACAAACACCCATCTGGGCACTCTTGCCAGTTTTAAAATCCCTGAAACAATCACAATCTGATAATAATGCAAATTTTCCATGAATGAATGTTTCACTTGCCAGCTAGGAAGGTTTTCTTTTTCTGGTTACTTGAGGGACCACCTGTCTTCCATAACATCTGCCCAGCTGATTCAATCCAGGGGTGTTCTAGGTTCCTTCAATTAAACAATGTCATCTCTCAGGACCCTGGAAGTGTGCCTTCTCTGTAGCAGTGCCTGCCCTCTGGAATGAGGTTCCCTCCAAGATCTAGATGGCCCCCACTCTGCTGTTGTTTAGAAGAGCTGTGATGACCTGGTTCTTCACCCAGGCCTTTGGCAAGGGACAGTGGGGCCCCTGACTTCATTACACTTGCCATCTTTTCTCATCTATTGATTTTATTGTAATTTGTTTGATTGTTGTGAGCTGCCCAGAGTCATTGAGAGTAGGGTGGCATACAAGTTTAATAAACTATTATTATTATTATTTGTAGTGACATGAAGAGAAAGGCAAGTCATTAAAAGGATTCATTTCCAAATCTGCACATTTCATTCTTTCCTCTTCCATCTCTTCCCCATCAATAGAGTCAAATAATTCTGACAAACTGTAAGAGTAAAGGGTTAAGCAATCCAGATCACTTCTTCATATAGTATTCCTAACAATTAAGCACCAGTACTGAGGTTTGACATGACATTAACAAAATGCCAAAGGGTTAGAGTGCAGGTGGAAAAAAAAGTCATTAAAATAATTTAGTTCAAAGGTTATACTTCCCATTCAATTTGAAAGTTTTTGTCCTGAATGTTCTCTTTTTGTTATCACTTTAGACCTTGAGACTCTTTCATCAAAAATATATATTTGAGAAAAGTTCAAAAATCAGAACACCCACATTTAGAATGATGAATATCTGGAAATACAGCTTAGGAGAAACCAGTAGTTTTTGGCATGTTCAGTTAATTAACTTCTTTTTCAGTTTGGACTAATTAATAGCAAGTTGGTTTTGTTCTCCTGCAATGTAGTCTCTCCAGCTTCTCCTTTGCTAATACAGAATGTGATTAAGAATTCTGTTAAATGACTTTTTGCCACAAACTTATGTTTCCTGATTCTTTGTGAGAAAATGATTACAGAATGAGGGTATTGTGACTGATTGTGAAGAGGGTCATATTGTCACTTAATCTCAATTCAATAGTTTTTATTACAGGATGTGAAAGATTGATAAATGTATCATAACAATCTTTAGTTTGGTGTCAACATTAAAGAAAAATCTAGGAGTGCAAGCTGAGCTTTCTGGGATTTGAGAGAGAAATTAAATACTATTTCACTGCACTGTTTAATATGAAGCATCTTGAATCACACCAAGAATTTAAACTTTCCTCAATGTCTTCTTCAGAGTGGACAGTGAAGCCTGCACATAATTTTAATTTCTGGGTCAGGCCAACCACTGAAATCCAGAAATACTCTCAATGAAATCAAGTCTTCTCAATTACAAAGTTGTAAGAAGCCAAGGAATGATCAATAACATCTGTAGGATTTGTGCGTGAGCAAAGTTCCTATTTTATATATTCCTGCTGTCTCGGCTGCTCCAGGGCTGGAACGGGGCTCCGTCGTATTTTCTTGGTGCCCTTGAATTTGCACCAACAGCGCCTAAAAACAAACACATCAAAATACAGACGCGGGAATGCTCATAACGCTGTGAAAATTCTTCGTCTTGCTAAAAAAAAAAAAACCTTGACATTCGGTTACCTCCTCATTCGACTCTTTCCTGGAACGTGGAGACAAACTCGAAACGGTAAAATGGGACAGCTGCGGGTCAAAGACACCCAAGCAGGGTTTTCTCGTGATAAAACAAGGCCCGGTTATCTATCTGAACGCGCCACCTTTCCCCAATTGGCATCCCGGTGAATTGCAAACGGCGACGAATTTCTGGGCGTCCCCCCCCCCTCCCCCCCCTGCCCCAGGGGGCTCCCCCCCGTTCCCCCCCCCCCCCTCCCCCACCGCTTCTCCTTCTCCCACCCCGCCCAGAGGAGAGCAATCCGTGAGCTGCGCGCCTAATTGGGCCGTTACGTTGTTATGGCAACAGTATGCCGGCGCGGCCTCGCAGACTGGGCAAAGCTCTAAGGACAGCTGCTCATGGAGGCGGTGAGAGGGGAGGGAGAAGGGACGGAAAAGAGGGAGCCGGATGGCTGAGGAGGGAAACGGGGGCGAGCCCCTTGGAGCAGAGTGAGGAGGTGGAGGGCTGGCCCAGAGACCCAGAAAGAGAAGCCCCAAACGCTTTGAAAGCTCAGCGCAGGAACTTGGGAAGAAATAATACAGCCTCGAATGCTGCTGAGCCTGGGAAGAGCGCGTTCAGAAGAGGCACGTGCAGACTTGCTGGGCCGTCTAGATCCCCAGTGCCAACATCTCAAGAAAAAAGAGCAATTACACACTGCATGGAAAGGGAGGTAGACCAACTGTTTCTGAAAGGGTATAAAGGGACACTAGTATACTGTATTCCCTTGGGAGTAGGAGACTTTAGAATGGGTGCAAAATTTGATCTTTTAAGAAGAACGGACAGGAGGAGGAAGGACTGGTATAAATTATCATCCTTTTTTCTTTTTCTGGTAAGATTTTCTCTGCAATCCATATGGAGGTACAGTGAGAAGCAAGTTTCACCTGTTGCATTTCTGGCTGCTGAACAGCTGTTTAAAGCAGAGGGATCCTGCCAGTGAAAAGGTGGCAATCCTCTGAAGTCATGAGCTTTTGGGATTTTTGGATCCTGTGTGCCTTGACTAATATTTCAAACCCAGAACAATAGAACAAGTGAATATTTGTCTTATGTTCTTTTTGACTCATAGGAATCTTTTGTTTTTTAGATTTTTTTAAAATCCTGCCTTTATTATTTTTTATAATTAACTCAAGGAGGCAAGAAAACCTAG